AACCGAGGGACAGAGAGCGAGACTATTGGCTTCTCACACACCCACAAGTATGCATTGCTACCGCTACCACACCTTACATACATCGGCATGGGGGTTGTGATCAGAGATCATGGCCCGCCCAAGCTTCTGGCTTGTGGTGATGAGACAGCCTCAAGCTCTAAATAGGTTAATATCTAGAGAGTCAACTTTCTGGGTGTATCTGCCTTGCCGCTGAAAAGATGTCTCAAACCTCCCACTGCCCCTCAAATCAGGCCAAGAATTTGTGCCAGGCAGCGCGAGTTGATATCGAGTAGTCTCTCCAGTCCGCAGCTACTACCGCAACAATGTCACTCTCTTTGTCGTTTTTGGTCTCGCTCTGGCCTTTGCTCATCAGTCTTTGGGTGCTTTACGGTGTCTCCGTGGCAGTCTACAGACGATACTTTCACCCTCTTTCTTCTATTCCTGGGCCCTTCTTGAATACTATCTCTTATCTTGCGATCCTCTACCAACAAGGTATTTTGGAAGGTCAGCTTCTACATGCCCTGGAAAGATGGCACGCTCAATATGGTTAGCTTTCTCGATATCCATATTCCCCATCACGCCTTTGACACGTACTAAACAGGCCCCATCATTCGCATCTCCCCTAATGAGATCCACCTATCCTCACCCGAGCACTACGAAACAATATACTCAAACGCTCTCAAAACAGGCTTCTACAAAGACCCTGCTTTCTACGGGCCGATGGAAGGACCGATCAAGACTCCCATTATCTTGACCATGATCTCCAATGAGGAACACAGGGTGAGGAGGATGGGCATGAACCCTTTTTTCTCCAGACGGTCGGTTCTAGGTTTGGAGCAGATCATCAGAGACAAGACCGAGAAGCTCGTTAATATGGCAGAGAAAAGCCTCGGCCAGATTGGAGGCGAGTTTGATGTGCATAGAGCCACGAGGGCCCTGACAGTGGATATTATCACCGAGTACGCGTATGCCAGGTCGTGGAATTATATGGATCTAGCTGACTGGTAAGTGACCTCTACCATTCGAGACTGAAACTGCACTTATCTGGGTTGACATTTACAATAGGGGCGAGGGATATCAGGAGGCTATCCGGGCTGTTCAGACTTTCTTCCCATGGTTTCAAGCATTCCCTTCTCTGCTTCCCGTATTTGGGCTTCTTCCAGACTGGGTGCTGGTAAAGCTGTACCCTCATTTTGGGAAGTGGTTTGGCAGTCTAGAGGTATGTCACCCACTGTCTTGTGCAGCAGGTAGCCAGTGCTAACGCAAATCAACAGGTTGTTCAACAGTCTGTCGCGGACGTTAAAAGGGATATCGTGCTTGGCATCAAGCCTCCTCGACGAACCATTTTTCATGAGCTCATCGATCCGGAGCCTGCCATAATGAATGTAGAAGCAGTAAAGGGTCTGCCGCTGCGTCAGAAGCTCCCGGATGTGGTTGTATTTGCCGATGCGGTTAATGTTACTGGCGCAGGTGTTGAAACCACCGGTGCCACAATTTGCAGGGCGCTGTACGAGGTTCTTGATTCACCTGAGATTTCTCAGAAGTTGAGGGAAGAGTTGAAGACCGCTCTACCTGACCCGTTTGATGTTCAGGAAATGAGCTTGGTCGAGTTGGAGAAGCTGCCTTATTTAACAGGGGTCATCAAAGAGACGCTGCGGTAGGGGCAATGCATACCTGATTACTATTTATGAAGTCGTGCTGACACAGAACAGAGTCAGTCCTGGAGTACCAGGCCACCTACCTCGCGTTGTTCCCTCCACTGGCGCAACATTCGAGGGACACACTCTTCCTCCCGGCACGGTGGTTAGCATGAGTGCGTGGTCGATGCACCATAACACCTATCTCTTTCCTAATCCAGACAAATTCGATCCTACACGATGGACTAATCCAGATGTTGACGCTGTTCACGCCAGAGAAAGGGCTCTTGTGTCCTTTGGTCGAGGAACGCGCAACTGCATCGGACAGAACTTGGCCATGTGCGAGCTTTACTATTCTGTGGCAAGCATTATCCGGAGATGGGACGACTTGAAGGTGCATCCTGATTTTGGACGGGAGGATGTGAAGCTGGTGGAGTTCTTGTTGTCGTACCATCCGAGGAAGGCGAGGAAGTTGAGGCTTGTGGGGGGTTGAACTGATGTTGACATAGTACAGGCTGCAGGACGGGAGGTTTCGTTACGAGATCGCGAGTCGACGCATGCAAACGCGCATTTTCTTTCCCCATGTACGTAATCATGCCCTTTTTGACACCTAGCAACAATGAGCCACTTCAAAGATTTTGAAACACGCACGAATGAAAGTAGAAGTCATCGAGAAATTGGGGCTCAGTACGGTAAGTTTTTATTGTCAAAAAGATCAGACCAATCCTACTCGGCCTTGCCGTTCTTCAACGCACCAGCATACGCCACTCCGCCACCCACAGTAGGGTTCCTCGCCAACTTATTCTCCCCATCCCTAATCAAGAATTTCGCAATCTTGATCTCCTCGGTACTCCTCTTCCTCAAGTCCGGAATACCAAAGAACTGCGCCTCGATAGCATCATACCCGATATCCATCTCGAAATACCCCCTATAGTACAAATCCTGCCACTGCAACGTCGGGTTGTTCTTGATCAACAACTTGGAAATCGGATCCGTGATGAACCTCGGGACAATCCCCGTCAACGGACTCGTACTGCTCACCGCCGAGCCAGCCAGCTCCACCCCCACCGCGCCTGCGCCCGTCTTCTCATTATACCCCTCCGACGACCAAGCCATATCGCTCACCCAAGCCGCATGGCTGTCCCCGCTCAGCATTACCGTGTTGTTAATCTTGTTATCCACCAGCGTCTTGTAGACTCTGTCCCTATTCGCAAGGTAGCCGTCCCACTGATCCCGATTGAACGGCTCATCATTGAACACCCCAATCGTGACCCGGCTGAAGATGACCTGGTTCCCGACCAATCTCCAGCGAGCCTGTCGATCACTGGACTCCTTAAGTTTGTCATAGAACCAAGCCTCCTGGCTGAAACCCATAATAGTCCGATTAACCCAATCAGCCTGCTCCTCCACCTCCTTCTTATTTCCCCCGATAATCCCCCCCAATGGTCCCAAAACAGTAACATCCCGGTTATACTGCCTCGTGTCCAGCATGATTAAATCAAAGAGATTCCCAATGGAAAAGTCCCGCCATATCCTCAGGGAGTCATCCATAGCCACTTGTCTCAGCGGCATCCACTCGAAATACGACCTCACAGCTGCCTGCTTGCGCAAGCGGAATTCCTCTCCGTCACTGTTCTTGGAGCCGTTGTTATACGTGTTGTCAGCCACCTCGTGGTCGTCCCAGACGGGGATCCAAGGGAAATGCTGGTGGGAGAAGGCGAGGTCCTGGTCGAGGCGGTAGGAGGCGGTGCGCTTGCGGTAGTCGTAGAGGGTGTAGGTCTCGCGGTCGGGAAGGGGCTTGCGGAGGTCAGTGAGGCCGGCTTTGTACTCGTAGATGTAGTCGCCGAGGTGGAGGATGTAGTCAGCCGAGTCTTTGGCATTGACGGCGGCGTAGGCGTTGAAGTAGCCTTCGGGGTAGTTGGAACAGGAGTAGACTGCCAGCTTGATGTTGCGGGGCACGGTTTGGGTTTTGGACGGGAGGGTTTTTGTGCGACCGAGGGCACTGGACTTTGAGGAGGAGCAGACGTTGAAGCGGTAGTAGTAAGTTGTGAATGGTTGGAGGTTTGTTGCTTCGAACTGCGAGCTTGTTAGCAGGTGTTTTTCAAAGATCAAGGGAGGAAAGGGGGTTTACCTTGACTGTCCAGTCGACTTCACTGGAGGTGTAGGCTCTGCCGCTGTCGAGCACCTGCGTCAGGGCCTCGTCTGTCCCGATACGGTACTCAACACAGGCGGCGCGGCTGCTAGGTGGAGCGCCTTCATCGCCGTAGATGGGGACTACGCCCTCTGGGACGATATCTGAGGCGACGTTCTCAGCTGTGGGAGAAAGCCGAGTCCAGAGGATGACAGAGTTGGCATACGGATCTCCCGAAGCGATGCCATGGGTGAAGTTGACCTCTGCTGCTGTGTACAAAGAGCCAGTCTGGCGCTTTTGGACGTGAGAGATGGGAACAGCGAGAGAAGCGTGCCGGCGAGAAGGAGAAAGATAGGAGAGGTTGTTCTCAAAGGAGGCGGAGACTATACCCGCGAGAGACAGGGCAGTTGTGAGGCGCAACATGATGACTGTTAACTGGGGCCCTCTTCCGTGTTTACTTTGACCTGAAAGTCAAAGTGAAGCCATCGTCACAACAGACCGACGGGACCATTCTATTTGTACTCGGAATATTTCTTCCAATAATTTTTTATGAACAAGGCACCTAGAATGTAAGGGCTTTGGATTGCGTGCATAACCTCGGGATCATACACTGACACCCACCTTGGCATACCGGGGTCAATATCTTCAACAACGTTGATCAATTCTTGTTCCTGACTGGCCGTTTCCTGAACCATGCATGCTCCATGGAGGGATGCCCGAAATGTGGGAATGTTTGGCCGTATTATCAGATCATGCAGTCGAGCCGTGTTCCTGAACAAGGCAGAGCACATCAGCTTTCCCTACAAAGGAATTGAACATGCAGGGCCAAGCCAATGGTACAACCTCATGCCTGTAGAGTGCGGAAAGTCATCTGGATCGAAGCTGTCAAAGTCCACTGTCAAGTCAGCAATCAGGTATTTGAAGGCCGATCAGGGCCGCTATTTTTCGGTAGGGGTCCACTGGATGTGACGCTGGGAGGCTGGTGACGTTGTAGATAGCAACCACCCTTGTACGCTATAGTTCGGGGAGCCCAATCGCTAAAAAAACGTGCTGACGCTTTTGAAGACTCCTTCCTGAACAGCATAGGTTCAAAGAATGCGCATGTTCGAAACGAGATTGGGGTGAATGCAGCATGTGATTTGGTCGACTGTGCGGAAGTGGAATTAAGGAAAGGGAAAAGTTCAAACGAAGGAAAAAGAAGCTCTTGGTGTGAGAGCACGAGCAAAAAGGTATGGGCGACCCCGGAATCGAACCGGGGTTTCTTCGGATTCGTAGTATGAAATTACTTGAATTCCACAACGAAGCGTCCTGACCACTAGACTAGTCACCCGGTGAGGTATTTAGTGGAATTCGAAAGTGAACTCAAGGTCTATAGTGCAATATCCCCAGCATACCCTTTTTGCATCACTGAACACTTTAACCACATACTTTGATCAACGTTACGTTCAACAAAGGATCTGCACAAGAACACAAAGAAATTTTTTTCAGAGACAAGAGCAAACAGACCCAACAGGAAGAGTCTCGGGTCCGCTACTTGCCTTCGGGAAGAACTTGGGTGTCTTTTCAACACATCGGCAGCCAGGGCCCTCAGCACACGGTTCCTTGCACCAGTCAGGGTGGCCCCAGACCCTGTGTCACTTCAACTACCGGTTTCCGAAGTTTGTTTGCACTTGGAGCTGCATCGCATCGTCATTTTTTATGACAGCTGGTCTGCTCGTATTGTGCCGCTTCTCATCTTCAAATTGGGCATCGTGGATTGCATCCTGAGGTTTCACATACTTGAGGCCTACAGCGTTAAAAGAGACAGCAATGCAAACACCACAGAAATAGCTGGAAAACTCTGGACTTATTGGCTCAAGACAAAGAGAGGCAAACAAGGAATGAAATTCATCGACGCTGGTAGCAGTTTCAACTGCACTCTTCCGCCTCGAGGCTGGCCTCAATGGCCATCAGCTGATGGCACCGTGGCAACAATGACGGAGGTGCCAGAAAGAACTAGCGTGAAGAGATGAGGTTTAAGAATTTGTGTTCGCTTCTGTAATAAGAGATACCTGATCCCATGATGTGAAAGTGTTGGAAAATCAAGCCCACCACAGACAGTCACCCCTCACTCAATCAGAACGGAAAACCTACGATGTTCTTTTCCAGCGAAGCTGCCTCAGCAAGCTTCCTGTTGCCTCTGACGGCACGGGACTTCCTTTCCTATGCTTGCGTTGTTGCTGCCCTATTCTTCATCTACATTAACACATCCTTCGGTATCATAGGGAGTGCTTGCGTCGGTTGGCTTTGCGCACTTCTCTTATTATCCGTTTATAAGCTGGGGCCTGTGGTTCTTGCGGTTCATGATATCATACTGCCGCCTCAGGAAGACATCGAAGGCTGGCTGAGTGAACAAAAGTCTGTCATCAACTTTTCCTTCGCCGGCGTCTCCAAGTCTAGCGACACCCTCCCCCTTCGCGCAGCAGCCAACGAAAATCTCGCCATTGCCTTCAACATTACCAACTCTTTGACCACAATCTCACCGTCAACCCACAAATTCTTCCTAAAAACAGCCTCCAGCATCATCAATCGTTCAGATCGAGACTGGACTGTTCTCTTTGAAACTGCCAGGTCCACTCTCATAGCCGAACTCATCCGTGACACGAGTCAACCGCTTCACCTGGCAGAAGTCACCCGAATAACCTGCCTCATTGTCGTTCTTGTCGATAACTTCCACGTACCTAGCCCTGCCAGTCTACCGCGAGAGTCCTTGGTGATAATCACAGACCAGATCAACGACCAATGGCTCAAAGCAAAATTATCCACCAAGCCCGTGCCATCACCACTCCTCAGTCACCACCTCTCAATCCTACAACTAGCACTTCGCTCATCCGATCGGGTTTTAAAGCCAGAGGAAATCCTCGGCACCATCATGCCTCAATACGAAACCCTCTGGCGCGTTGTCCTGGTCACTTACCTCCTCGCCTTCCACCTTTATTCTTCTCCCACTCTTCAAGACAGAATATCGTCTGTCCCTGAATGTCTCGGAACAAATTTTGACGAGGAAAAGGAAGCTCTCAAGCTCGCCAAAGTATGGCCCTTCCTTTTTGCCTTTTCCTCTTGATCCTTTCCCCTTCCCTGGTTCTCTCTCACTGCCCGTAATACCCAAACTTTATATCACCAGACAAACCCCACTGACATGAACCAACAGGAAGGCCTCCGCCTCACCCCATCCAACAAACGAATCTACCGTCACACTCCAGCACCCAACTCTCAAAAAGTGAAGGCCGACCTCGAACTCATGCACCGACACCCATCTATTTGGGGCTGGTCAGCCCTCAAGTTCAACCCCTCCCGCTTCGACAACCTCACCAAGCTCCAAACAGAAGCATACCTACCCTACTCCATCCGCCCTCACCGCTGTCCTGCGTCTGGTGGGTTTGGAGATCGAATGGTAACCTGCCTTGTCGTCGCCATGGGCAGGGTCCTCGACACCGCGACTGGAAAAGTCGACAATGTCGGTTACCCCTGCAACGCGGAAAGAAAGGGAGTCATCGGCACAGCGAGAGACGAGCTGGAAGGTTGGAGATACACACCTACTGTGTATAAATAGACAAGTCACAAGACGAGAGAGAAAGAAGGTGTGCCTTAAGTCTGGTGGAGAATAGGGGGTGGGTCAAGAGAATTTATGTACAAAAATAAAAAACAAAATATATGGGCGACCCCGGAATCGAACCGGGGTTTCTTCGGATCGTATGTGATATTCCTGCGAATAACCACAACGAAGCGTCCTGACCACTAGACTAGTCACCCGGTGAGGTATTTTGCTATTGTTGTTGTTGAGTTTCAGCTGCGGAGTTGGAGGTTTTGACTCAATGTGGTAGTGGCGCGAGTTGATGTCCGTAGCCCCTGAGATTAGATTTCCACACTCACAAATCCCAAAGTGACAGAAAATGTAAAGTATTTCCTTTTTTGCAGTGACTAACGTTAAAGCAGCTGACGAAATTGTACCGCCAAAACTAAACCACACCTTGCTTCTACCGAGCTTGACACATGCAGCCTTCTCTGCCACTTTCACCAAACCCCTTCCTCTCTAGTCTTTACACAGTCCTCTCATGGCCAAAAAACATCAAAAGTATCCACCGGCGCACCCCCTTGCCTAACACCCCCTCCCGGAACATAAACCCCCCCTCCAATTCCAACCGCACTCGTCCCATGCCTCGGCACCTCCATATCCCTCAACCTCTCCCACTTATCCCTCTGCACATCATACACCTCCACCTGTGGAAACACCCCCTCCGTCCCATTAACTTTATTCCCTTCCCCTCCCAAAGTATAAACATTGCCCCCCAGCCTCGCAGCCGCCAACCCTCCCCTAGGCGTGTGCATCCGTCCCTTCTTCAACGTCCACCCTCTGCTTAACCTCTTCAGATCAAGTTCAAAGACAGTATCCTTGACGTTATCCTGCCCGTTTTTCCTACCTCCTAAAACATAGAATTTGCCCTTGTAAACAGCCGCCCCGGCGTGATCCCTCCCCTCCGGTAGTCTCCTCGCCTTTTCCGGCAGCGTCAACCAAGTATTATTCTTCGTATCAAAAGCACTAACCACGTCCGTCGTCTGCTGCGGTCCCAATTCTGGTACGAGAGGTAACAACGTCAACCCGCCGGCGAGGTAGATTACCCCGTTGTGAACACCCATTGCTGCGCTCCCCCTTGAAGTCTCGCTCTCTGGGATAGGGGGTAGGTCGCTCCAGACATCGGTTTTGGGTTCATAAACGAATGATTTTGGGGAAGGTCTCCAGGCCCAGTTGTCGATTTCTGTTAGGCCTCCGAGAAGGTAGATCTTGCCGTTTACCACGGCGGCGTTGGGGTGGTTGAGTGCCAAGGGGGCAGGGGCGCCGAAGGACCAGGTTTTTTTAGGGATGGAGTAGATTTGTAGGATGTTGGTGGTGAGGTAGGGGATGGGGGAGGAGGAGTCATTGGCGGGGAGGATGCCCCCGAATATGGCGAGGGAGGAGGAAGAGAGGGCGAGAGTGACGTGTTCTTGGCGGGGGAGATTGCTTATGGATTGGAGCGTTTGCCATTTGCCTCCTTTGGGGGTGGGTTTGTTGTTGGGCAAGGAGAGACTGGTCGCTGTGAGCAGGAGTGCGGAGAGTATCGGGGGGAGCTTCATGTTGACTGCCGCTGGTTGTTTCGTTGATAGTGGAGGTCAACGATGAGAGGGTGATGCAGCCGTTATATGCAGGTATCATCCCTACTGCTCTGTTTAACCGAATGGGACAGCAGCATTTGTCTCCTCAACTCCAAGTCCGATTTCCACTACGACATTGAATCCTGTGAACTTCAGACCAGCCACCTTGAGAATGAGATACCCGTGACGTGGACTAACTTACCTAATCTCAGTCAATTAATTTCTCCGCTCCGACTTCCTGGCTTATTGCGGCCTGTCAATATTTTGACCTGTCGTCGCACTGGATCTCGGATGGCACGTAACTGCAGGAGCTGAGCGCAAGGCCCAACCACTACCCACACCGCACCCTATTCCCGCAGACAAAAGTTCGCACATAGTTGGTAGGAGCGGAAGTTACTGACCACTCAAAGAGATGAACGTCGTATCCTCGACCGCGTCATAGTGTGGCTGACACTTGTTCCATCCTGCACATTTTCTTCCTAAAACGGTAAGAATACGTAACTCGTGAGGCTGCAATCAACGCCTCATCGCTGCGCCGTTGTTATGGTAAGTCAGCGGTCGGCGACTGTATGTCCACGATTGGATCATATTCTACAAGGACGGGAAGGAGCTCGTGGACAATTCCACTCACAACTTGTGGTCTCGATTGGCAATGGGGCTGGAAATCGTCGCCGATGCTGTCGGTGACACCGAGAAATGAAGGAGCTCGAAAAAAACATCAGGAATCAAGCGACAATAGCGGTACCTCTCTAAAGTCGAAGAGATGAAAAGGAAAAAGGAGAAGAGAAAAGAAAAGCAAAAAGCTCACCGGCCAACTTCCACACACGCATATCTGGGGGAGGTGACTGGCTACAGAAAAGTCGTAGGTTTTACTCCTAACCGCGACGGGATTGAACAGAGAAGCTCTTTGTGTGAGAGTTCCGGGGGAAGTTTGAGTTTCCCCTGGGCAGCAGGTTTACCACTTAGCCTCAAGACCAGGGGAGCATCTCGGATCTAAGGTTCTGTTGAAAAGGAGGATAGTTGACCTAATATATATACCTGGGTTGTTACTTCTTGTTCTTGGGATGCCCGAGGGCAGGATATGGTACGGGGACTGCATTCAATCCTGCCATCAAACAAAACTTAGTGTCAAAAATGGAAAAGAAATAGAGAGTTGTCTCG